TGTATAACATGCATGTGGCAGGACTGCTCATGAAGGATAGCTTTAAGCAGATACCCTTTTGGGGGTCCCAATAATAAGGACTATTGTATTTTGGGGTCCATTTTTGGGGTCCCGATATTTTGGGAAACTACAGATCTACATTCAATCAAGCCGTTTCTGAGGTGTGTGCGTGTGTGTGTGTGTGTCATGCAAGACATTTAGCAGTCAATCCCTTTGCTCTGGCACGTGCAAGGTGTCCTTTGCAGGCTTTGCTTTCTTCTTTGGCTCTTGCACCTCCTGGCATACTCATGCACATGTACTCAAAGAATGTTGTTCAGCAACCACACAACTTCCTTACGAAGTGTCCAAGTACCTGCCCTCTCAGTACCACCCAATGTAGACCCCAATATACAGTGATCCTTATTACGGTGATCCCCAAAATGGTGCCTCTAATTTTGAGAAACGCGCATCTACTTCAGAGTGCGGTCTCGCGGCCTCCTGACAGGATGGTTCGACCGGCTCTTCGGGCCCACATGAGGCCATGACCTGTCAATTGATCCCGAGCATCGCTCCCCCATTCCCAGCTGCCCAACCCCGTGTGACTGTATCAGTCTGAATAGCTTAAGTGGCACCTCGGTCTGACAGCCCAGCATGGCCCCGACAGCAGCGGCAGCTGCAGCTGCCCCAGATGAGGCTTTGTTGAGCTCCTCGAGGCAAGGTTCAGTGAGCTCTTGAACCCGCGTGTCTTTGTGTGCATGAGCATTCAAAGGGTCAGAGCTGTCACGCCTGCAAAATTCAGAGGGGCCCTGCGAGGATGTTGGATCACGTTGGCTGTTCATTAAGTTAAGCCGCGTTAACAGAACATAATTCTGGAGTTCCAAATAGCTCTGCAAGCCATGCGCGTCATGCAGGCTGGCTGAGCCTGCTCAGACTTCCCGATGAGACGCAAGAAGAAGCGCAAGAATGTACCTTGGAATAAAAAGAAATAGGTACTGCTGGATCGCGCTGAGAAGGTGAGGTTCACCACCCGCACGCTTAAGACCCGCCACCCCTGGTGAGCTGCTGACCTGCAAAAGTTGCTGGCTGCACGTTCCTGCCAAGGAGGTAGGGCCCTGACCATCTAGCGACGCACCCACGCCAAGGGCTCGCGCACCGGCAGGCAGTCGGGCTGCCAACCTCATTCCGTGGAAGAGGGTGGGCTCCCTGATTTTTCTTAAAAGTGCCTTCGTTGCTGCTTAGAGCTACAACCTGCTTGACTACAAATGGTAGTTTCCCAAAATAGGGGGACCCCAATATAGACCCCAATATACTATAATCCTTATTATTGGGACCCCCAAAAAGGTACCCCTAATTTTGGGAACCCCCCAAATGAAAACGGATGGCTTTGCTTACAGCCCGGACGCTGTTGGTCCTGCCAGGAGCTCAGCTTTACTTCGAGAATGATCATGTCTGTGTTGCTTACCACGGGGCCGGGGCTGCGCAGTACAGTAGTCAAGCACCATGTGAGCTATAATGTAAACTCCTAGTGTTCCCTTACTAGCGCCTGTAGTAGTGCCCTATACAAACCCCTTTGTAATCTCCTTTAAGGACTTTAGACCCTAAACCCTAAACCCTAAATGCTATATAACCACTGTGGCTCATACCCTTTTTCCGGAGGCACTAGCTTGAGGCCTCTACGGTCGTAGTCCCCTATATAACCCCCTGTATAACCCCCTTTCAGATATGAGCTACTGTCTAAACTCCTAGTATCCCCCTTAATAACCCCTATAGTAGTCCCCTACATAACCCCCTATATAACCCCCATTAAGGAGTTTAGACTAGAGGTCAGAAAGAGACAATAGCTCATGTTGAGCCCCGCGCAGTGGCAGCACCATTCGCTCCAATGATGACAGCCTGGGCTCGGAATGTTACACGGGGGCTGCCCTAAATCAGCAGGTTCCGTTTTGGTATGTAAGGATAATGGAAAAGAAAGCGGAAACTACTATTTAGGGTTTAGGGATAAGGGTTTGGGGTTATGTGGGGCCTTCTTCCCTGATAATGGAGAGTCAAATGGAAAACAATATGGAGAATGAAATGGAAGCTGGGATTATACCAAGGTTTCATAAAGATTAGGGTTTCATGAGTAAGGGGTGCCGCAGCCGAATTCTAAAGCTCATATCGATGGAGCATCATGCGGCCTGAGTCCCTGAATCAATCTGTTTTGTTGTTTGTAAGGAATACAGGAGTATTAAAAAAACTGGGGTTATGACCCGATTGTTTTCCCACATTCCCTATTAACCAACGAACCTGATCTGCCTGAGCTCAGACATGCTGTGCACTTTGAGAGACCTGGAAAAGCTGGTAAGCACCATACCCCGGCCCCACACCCTCCCCCCCCCAAAAAAAGGTACACCTACTTTTGGGAAACTCGAATCCTTATACACCACCATATAATCCCAGTTTCCATGTAATTCTCCACTTTCCACACATCCTGGGAAGCTTAAAACCTAAATCCTAAACTCTAAATCCTACATAGTAGTTTCCGTTGTCTTTTCCATTATCCCTATATAAGCCGTAATTTGGGAATCTACTTCAGAGCGCCCCAAACCCTAGACAAAAAACCCTAAACCCAAAACCCCAAACCCCTAAACCCCTAAACCTTAAACTCTAAACCCGTAAACCCTAAACTCTAAACCCCTAAACCCTAAACTCCCTGATACTTCTTCAGTGATCCTGAGGCCAGGCGACCCCTCGCGGCGCTTCGCTTCGGTTGGCCCGCTGCGCTGGAAAGCCAAGCCCATGGTGCCTTAGGGCTCATTAGATTCAGTTTGTTTTTAAGGGCTCATTTTACCCGCAGGCAGGTAAAGGCTGAGCTCGGCCAATCGGCCTTTACCTGGGTTCAGGGTTTGGGGGTTAGATGGGGTTAGGGTTTAGAGATTAGGGTGTAGGGATTCTTTTCTTTTTTTTTGTAACCCTGAGGACTTTTACGTCTGCATGAAATGCACGGGGTCCAGAGCCCACCAAATTAGTCGGTTTGTGTGGCAACCGTCTTCTGCACCTTGCTGGGCCGGCGCAGGATGACATGCAGGCGTGCGTCAATGCCCCGAGCATCTTCCGTCACGGAAGACGGCTGCGGCACAAGAAAAAGTCCTGCATCGTCAGACCCAACAACACCCCCTTCAGCTAATCCCTGTAATAGTTCAGGGTCTAGAGACTCGGGTTTAGGGATTAGGGTTTAGGGAACATGAAGAGATTGGAAAGGAAACGCAAACACGACTCTCAGGTTCAAGAAACTGAAGCTACTACGTTGTTAAGGGCTTGTCGCTCAGGGTAGGGGGCTTGACCGCTGACAGCAGAGGAGAGGGGTCACACTTTCATGAATTGGGCTGGCTTGGGTCTTCTGTTCAGGACTGCTTTCATGCTTCAATTAAGCCGGCAACTAAGACAAGGACCTGTCGATTCCGGGCCATCCTTCTTGGCGGCAACCAAGGCTGCAACCTTGGCACCTGCTCCGGGAGCTCACGAAACAGTGCAGCGGTGCTGTGTGTGAACGCCTGCCTTTTTCTCCGAGTAGCACTTTGCGGACGATTCCAAGGTCCTGATTCAGGTAAGCTTCTTGCAGAAAGCATGACAAACAAGAAAGTCAGGTTGTAGACAGTAGGCTGCTGAGCCCCTTGTCCTGCAGCCCTGGCCGGCAGCCTTCGACAATCAGCGTATCACCCTTGGCCTCAAGCTCAACCATCTGGAGTGGGACTCCGAGTTCTATAGCGCACTTCAAGCCACTTGCAGTCCAAGCAGCATAACTCCTCTCCGACTTGCGATAGTCATGTCGGAACGGAGCAACATGCGCAACCTGACTTGACCCAGCCAATCAACGAATACCCACTAGCTTTGAGGCTAGGTCAGTTGATTGATGACCGCTCAGCCACTGGCTGTCTGAGGAGTTGTGCAAAGCTCAACCAAGTAGATCACACCTTGGCCAGAAGTTGCAAAGAAAGTTCACGCTTACCTCACACTAAATGTCTGTCGCGATGCTGTCTGTCTGTGGCCAGCGGGATAACTGCGAAGCCTCCACGAAACCTAAGATGATGCTGGTGGTCCATGAATTTTACTCTTTGCAAGATTGCTTTCTGGGACATCTGGAACTCTCGAATCGCTGGCCAAACTTAGCGTCCAAAAGTGTTGTACTGAATTGTCCTTGTTTGAACAGAAGCAAGCCTCAAGTCATTTTTGTTTGTGGGAGAGCAGCAGCTCAAGCCGCTAGTTAATGTCTACAATCTTAACATGAAGAACAAATCATGCAAGGATAATCTGTTTGGCAGTTTCCACGAATTAGGGAGGGCCACAAGATAAAGCCATAACCTAAGCGATCACGACGTTGCTGACATTGACTCACCCAAATCAGGAAACCCTCATGCTTAGGAATTCCCTTTTGAGGGTTTCTAGAAACGGGTATCCAGGGACCCTTGGGATGCATGGGGACACTGCGGAGAGCATGGGGAAGGGGTGGTTTGAAAAACAACTGGGTGGTTGTCAACATTATGGTCCCCTTTTGGGTACCCTAAATATTAGGTGCCGTACTATAATAATAGGGATCCAAAAAGGGACCATAATTTTGACAACCACTTAACTATCGAAGACGTCCCGGCAAGCAGCGCGGGAAGAGCTCCGCTGGAGAGGCGAGACGGAAGGCAAGGCGACGGCCTTGAGCTTCAGCCTCCACGCGAGAACTAAGGATCTGGTCAGCTTATAGTCCCCCTTAAGTAGATGGAATATTAGGGTTATATTGGGGTTATATAGGGATAATGGAAAAGAAAATGGAAACTACTGTATTATTATCTGGTCAAAGGCGGAGTCTTGGGATTTAGGATCGGTTTGGGGGTTTTTGGAGCTCAGCTTTTGGCTTCAGTTAAGGTTTTGTTTTGAGGTAGAATGTCTTCTAGGCCGGTCGGTCACAAGTCAGCCGGTGCAGAATGCATACCGAACATCTAGGAGCTCCTTACAAAGAAACAGCAAGCAGAGACCACACCACAACATACAGCAGAAACAGGGCCCCCAAGCTGTCTTCCTGCATGGTAATTCTTCCTAAGTAAACCATTGTTAATAAAGAAATCACTGAAGAAAGCACCAGCAGGTCTGGTAAAATCTGGTCGGTCGTGACGAGACCCACACACGGTGCAGATGTTCTGCTAGCACCTATACTTAATGACACGTGTCTTGAAGGCTGCTATCCTTGGATGGGTTCCAACTTTGAGTCCATGCTCTTCAGGGTTTATCACCTGGCTTGGCCGCCGGGATGGCTTGCCAGCTTGTCCGTCCCACTGATTGTATGTGTATACGACGAATGAATGTGCGCACAAGTCTCATTTTGACATGTGGGACCCGCATGTGGTTGGCTTCAATGTTCCGACAGGCCTAATTCAGAGTTTCTTGGGAGTCTCTCGAACCTTGACCCCCAAAGAGGACAACAACTTTCAACCCTTGTGATGCTAAAGCCATTCTGAGTTCACCTTTCGACCTTTTGACACTTTTCGAGACTTTTTCCGGAGTTTACGGCTTTGGGGACCTTTGGACCTTTCGAATGCACTCGCAGCTTGTTGAAACTTTTCTGTCGCTTCGACTTGTCACGACCTTTCTCAGTTTCTAAGTTTTGCAAACCATTTTTGCGATTTCCGCTAAATCCGAACAGCCCTAAATTATGATGAGGACTACCAAGAAAGGGCAGGTGGGCGGCTGCCAGAACTGGCTGACAACTGAAAGACCAGCCATACCAAGCATACGATCCAATCATCCCCTTCGACAAAACACCCCGCCACCGCAGTACCCCCCAGCAGCCCTGCTGTATCTAGTGAAAATGCAAAGGCCAACAATCACAGGGAGCTTCACCGTTGTTGGTGCTGGGTGTCATTCTTGTAGCTGTGGTCATGTTTGAAGCCATGACATTGCAGAATTGTGTCACCGCATCACATACATGCCAGCTGCAATCGAAATGGAGCGGTCTCTGTCGCCTGACAACCACTTTTTTCTTGCGCATTGTCGCGATGTTGACCAAGCTTCCAGCAGGAAAAGGGATTGGTTCTCCAACTTTTCACCCAACTTTGATCGTTGACGGTCTGAGTCAATCTGATGTCCACGCGCATCGGCGATTTTCAGCTTCAAGCCGAAAGCAAACCCTTAATAATGTCTCATTGGACCCAAACAACATCACATGAGGGAAGAGTAGTACTCTTGCCCCAAGTCCATTGCAAATGGCACGGGGACTACCGTCACAGCACTGCACCACATTCAAAGGGCAACACACAAGCTCCACATTGTCGCGATATCTCAAAGTGCAAGCAGTCAAAGCAATGGTGAGTGCCTGGATCCCTCAAGTGCTAAAGTACACAGGCTCTGCATGCTTCTTGGTGGTCATTGCGAAGCTTAATTCCCATAGGCATCAATGATTCTACATCTAGTTAAAACCAAACCTGATACATTTCCGTATCCAAACAACACCACAGGAGGGACAGAGTTCCCAGCCCATTCTCAGCATAATGAGCAGCCAACTGCGTTGGGCGTATCAGTTGGTGCCGAGTGCGAAATTGTTTTCTCACAGAATGCATGGCAGGCCAATCTGCAACACAACACCGGGTACCTGCTCTTGGATAAAACCACCGACGCAATGCACGCTTCCAATGGCCCAGAGAAGGATGGGAGCGGCAGAAAAGAAGCTCTATTTGTGCTCCTTTGTCTGCGTAAGCAAGAAGACAATGGAGGCCCATCAATTCCCCCAACCCAGGCTTTGCATCCAATTCTGTTCCTGAACTAGAGTCACCATCACGTCCCCCAAAGAAAGGGATCCCTGATGTAAGGACACCAAAGACGAATGTGGTCAAAGCATTTATGAGCTTCTGGTCCCGGTATCTACCTCGCAACATGTGGATCCTGGTTCTGAGGACCTGCATGGCAAAAGATACCGCGCTGCTATGCCGAACAAATTTGGTAGTTTCCCAGAACAAGGGGACCCCAATATAGACCCCAAAATACTATTATAGTCCTTACTATAGGAACCCCCAGAATGGTACCCCTAATTTTGTGAAACTCCTATATGGCCTAGAACTGAAAGCCTTGAACTGTGGAGCCCAAGCCCCAACAGGGTTTAGGGTTTAGGGGTTTAGGGTTTAGGGCACCCTAGCCCGTACATCCAAAATTTCATCCTATTCCATAAATACGGTGACATCAATGTGGGCCCTAGCATACTGTGATCCTTATTATAGCTACTACCAAAAAGGTCTCCTTAATTTCGGGAAGCCCTAAACCCTATACATCCCTATAGAACCCCTATAAAGCCCTGTGAAGGAAACCCCTAGTTTTAGGAAACCCCCACAAGCAACCTCCGAGATGACCCAGGAAGCACCCGCCGGCGGTGGAGGTCTTCCTGAGTCTGCTTGGGGTTTGGGGTTTAGGGCTTAAGGTTTAGGTAGGGTTTAGGGCTTAAGATCTCTTTTCACGCTGTTGGTAGTTGCCAGATCTAAACCCTAAACCCTAGACCCTAACTCGAAAAGCTTTGGAGATTGCATTGGGGCAGTGTCAAGAATCGACAGCTTGGAGATATTTTAGGAAACCCTATTTTTCAGAAACCGCCTTTCGGAGCTCCGATTCTCAGGGAGCAAGGCTGTATCCTGCTTCATCTATTCCAGGCACCGATGACATTTGGTCCCTACTGGGGTGATTTTATGGGAGCTGAAACGCTGGGTGAGCTACAGTCAATATTACCCAGGAAATCAATGGACATCGGTTCCACATCTGGGACTATATTTGAGACTGTACTATACTACAACCCCTATGTGCACCCTAGATGGTCCCCTGGCAAGCCTAATGTTGATAGTAGCTCATATAAAAGGTGAAGAGGAATACACAACCCATCACTCCATTACTTGCAACCATCACTCTCAACGAGCGTAGAAGTCTTGCAAAAAAACGGAACTAATGATCACAACGGGGTGGCAAATGACGTTAATCCGCCTCACAGAAGTAAAGTTTGGTCAGGAACCCTCAAACTGTACGATGTCTCCGAGTAAAACTATGATGTTGGGAACCTCTCTAGAGCATCCTTGACAACTCAGTCTGAACTACCACTCCTAAATTCTCAACCCTAAAGTCGCCACCTTCAAGACCAAACCCGAAACTTCAAATCTTAAAGCGACAGGCCTAAACTCAAACACCAGAACTCCAAACCCCAAACTCCAACCCCTAAAGTAAACCCCCAAACGCCAAGCCCCAAACCTGAAACCCCTAAACCATCCTTACCCTGAGACCCAAAAGCAGCCCATCCCCGGTGCAGACTAAAGGACCTTTGCCATCGATCTGCTCGTCCCAAGGCTTCGGAGCTGAAACCTTTGGCTTAGGGCTTAGGGTATAGGATGGTGTAGGGCTCGAATTTAGGGCTTACGGTTTAGGGCTTAGGGTTTGGGGTTTAAAGTTTAAAGGGGTACTGTAAGGCTTATATTGGGATTGTAGACGAGTTTGAGATACTGGGGGATTTCGCAGTGATCTATGGGGGGGGTAAAAGGTTGAGGGTTTATAGGTTATCTTTAGAATGGAGGCTATGCAATTTCCGGAAAGTGACCAGTCTTCAGGAAGAAATCCTCCCTCCAAAGCCATGCCACATGAGAAGCTTGAAGAGTTGCGCAGTTTTCAGGGTCCATGCTTTCAAGGGCTGATGATTTAAAGTGCCCTGTGCGCTCAGATGAGGGGTGCTATTTTTCATCCACGCATATGCGAGTATCCCGCGAACAAATTCGACTGCAGCCTGTCAGATCAACATGTGCCGTCAAAAGCATTCTGCGCGCCTCTGAGTGAAGGAGCGAACCAGGGTTGGTTGAAACAAAGCAGCTTGAAGTTCCTCTTTCTTGGCTTAAGCGCTTGCCATGACATCTCTTGCTGGGATCATGGTCATGAAGAGTATCTGATGCACCCTTTCCTGAAGTTTTGCATGTGCGTTGCCTGGCACTACCCTTTTTCTTCTTCTTCTACAGGCTATGCGACACCCGGAGGTGTCGCGGAGGCGAACCTCCAGCCCAAATGTCCGGGGTT